CCAAATGTTCCTTCAGCTTCTGGAAGGCCTCTTCGCATTGGGGTGTCCATTCAAAGCGCTTGCTTTCCTTTAAAGCATCGAAGAAGGGGATGCATTTGTCGGTCGCTTTTGATATGAATTTGTTTAAGGCAGCAACACATCCTGTCAATTTCTGTACTTCCTTCGGCTTCGTTGGGGACCGTATATCTTGTAGGGCCTTGATTTTTTCGGGATTAGCTTCAATCCCTCGGTTGCTGACCATAAAACCCAGGAATTTTCCCGACCCAACTCCAAAGACGCACTTTCAGGGATTGACTTTCATGCGGTATTTTCTTAATACGCCAAACATTTCCCCCAGATGGTCGACGTGGTGGCTGGCCTTTGTGCTTTTTACTAGCATGTCGTCGACATAAACCTCCATTGTCTTGCCGAGTTGTCGGGCAAACATTTTATTTACTAGCCTTTGGTAGGTAGCTCCAGCATTCTTCAGGCCGAAGGGCATCACTTTGTAGCAGTAGAGGCCCCTGTCGGTTATGAAGGATGTGTGCTCCTCGTCGGCTGGATTCATGGGGATTTGATTGTATCCGGAGTAAGCGTCCATAAAGCTCAGCATCTCATGCCCCGCCGTGGCGTCGACCATTTGGTCTATGCAAGGGAGTGGGAAACCATCCTTCGGGCAGGCTTTGTTTAGATCGCTGAAGTCGATGCATGTTCTCCAATCTTCGTTGGGCTTGGTCACTAGGACGGGATTTGATACCCAACAAGGATAATGGGACTCCCTGATGAATTCGTTACTAATCAACTTGTCGACCTCTTCCCTCAGCGCCTCATACCTCTCGGGGTTCATCGGCCGACGCTTTTGCCTTTTGGGCGGATGTGAAGGGTCGATGTTCAGGGAGTGGCATATTACTCCGGGGTCGATTCCCTCCATATCGGAATGGTTCCATGCGAAGGCATCCAGGTTCTTCCTGAGAAAGTCTTCGATCTCATTTCTAAGTGATGGGGCTAAACTTGAGCCCACTCTCAGTATTTTGGTGGACTCGCCTTTGCCAACTCGGACTTCCACCAACTGTTCCATAGGCTGGGACCACGCGGCTTCCTCCTGGATCCGGGGGTCTATATCCTCGACAAGGCCTTGGTGAACCATCATCGCCTCCTGTCTCCCTGGTTGGTCATATCCCCGTAGGGCGTCAGAGTACGCAACTCTAGCCTTATACTGGTTGCTTTTCATTTCCCCTACGCTATTTGCGGTGGGGAACTTGACATTTTGGTGGTAGATGGAGGTTATGGCTCTTAACGCTTGGAGGGTCGGCCTCCCAATTACTGCGTTGTACTGGGAGCTTCCCTTTATAACCATGAAATTAGCCATTGTGGTGGCCTGTCGGGGCTTCTCACCAGCGGTTATGGGTAGGCGGATGGTCCCCTGGGGGATGACGGAGTCGCCTGTGAAGCCATATAGTGGCCTGGAGGTTTTCTCCAATTGCTTCTTCTGGATCCCCATCTTTTCCAAGCAATCAGAATATAGGAGGTCAACCGAGCTTCCATTGTCCACCAGGATTCTGCACATGGTGTGGTTCCCTATCATGGCCTCTACCACCAAGGCGTCGTTGTGGGGAAAATGAACCCCGCAAGCGTCATCCTCATTAAAAGCCACATCAGTCTGGCTGTACCTTGGAACTTTTACAGCGGAGACGCTCCAGAACCGCTCCTGATAAACCCCTTTGGCCTCATGGGCGTAATCTTTTTGAGATCTCCTTGAGTTTCCTCCTATGAAGGGACCGCCGAGGACAGTCCGTATGACGCCGACGGGTTCACAGTCCTCTGGGCGCTGGTTCTCCTCTCGGCGTCGAACATCATTCTGCCCACCATGGCCGTCATTTCGGGGCCTCCGCTCGGCCTTGAATTCCTATAACCTTCCCTTGCGGATTAATCTTTCAATCTCGTCCTTGAGGTCAGCACAATCATTGGTGTGGTGGCCGACTTCGCCATGGAACCTATAGAATTTCTTCTGGTTCCGTCGGCTGGGGTCTGACTTCATTGCCTCCGGTCGGCGTAGCAAGTTCCCGTGACCGACTTGGTTAAAAACCTCTTCAACGCCCACCGTTAACTCGTGGTAGGAATCGTACTTTTGGAACAGCCGAGGCCTTCGGGTGTCCTCTTGCCTTGGCTTCTTGGCTTCCGGAGCGCTCGTCGTTGCGGGGGGTTGTTTGTCTCCGTTTCCTCCGCCTCAACGCTTCTTCCCATCCTGCTTCGCAGGCGCTGACCTTGTTTGGTTCCTTTACTCTTGTTGGTTCGGTGCTCGGGGTCGTTCGCGTCTGCCTCTTCGGCATTGATGTACCCCTGCGCTCGCGCCAGAAATTCTCTGTAGCTGGTTGGGGGTTTTCGGTTTAGCTCTCTTTTGAATGGGGTTATTTTCTTCATGCTAGATAAGGCCTCCATCAAAGCTTCTCTATCGGTTATGTCCATTGTGGTGGCGACGTCGTCCCCATATCTCGCGAGCCATTCCCTCAATGACTCGTTTGGCTTTTGATAGATCGTTGTTAGGTTCTGTTTTGGGGGGACGTACCTTTTTACCCTTATAAATTGGAGGGAAAAGGCCTCCTTCAACTCATCCCAACCCGAGATAGAGTTTGGCTTCAGCGTCCGGAACCATCTCCGCGCGGAATCCGTCAGATGGTTTCGAAAGGCTCGGCACATGATCTCCTCGGTATAACCGTGCAAGAGCATGTGCCTGGTGTACATCTCTAGATGGTTGTCGGGATCTCCTCGTCCGTCGTACGGCGGGATTGATGGCGACCTATATTTATCGGGGAGAGGGGGCACCATTATTTCTTCAGTAAACGGATAGTCGTGAGTGTGACTGGGGGTGATGTCGACGTTTACCACCTCAGCCACGCGACCTATATTCTTTTTCAAGCCCGCCACGTCCCCTGTCAGTTTTTGCTCCAGGCTGGCCATACGTTCCATGATGGCGCGCGCTTCCTCTGTCGAGATGGCCGAGCCGGCTACTCTTGACGCTTCCGCCCTCTGAACATTAGGACCGCCTCGGGCCTGGCCGCCTGCCTGTACTAAGCCTGAGTCTCCTGGTAGGTTTCCACCTGGATTCTGAGGCAATACCTTGGGGTTTCCAGGACCCCTTGGTACCCGGTCCTCGGGAGCTCGGTGCCCGGCGGCCCCCAAACGGCCGGCGGAGGATAGGGAAGGCCGAGGCCTAGGAGGGCCCCGGCGATTCTCACTATCTCCGGTCCCTTCTTGGGCAGGTAGGTAGTTGCCGTGGTTTGGATCTCCGGTCAAGGCTTGTCCCTGTGGGATCGGGGCATCTTCTAATGGTGGCATGGAGTTCCTCCCATCTAAGCGTTCCACCACGGTCATCAGCCCACGTACCAGCTCGGTTAGAGTGGTTAGTTGGGCCTGCATCTGCCTTGGGTCTGGCTGTGGTGCGTTTGGAGGTGGAGCTTCATGTCCCACCGGGCGTTGATCTCCTTCCATCCCGATATTCCCTGGACGGGCGGCGGCTTGTTGCTATGTTGTTTAGGGTTCGAACGCTTTCTTTCCCCAGTGGAGTCGCCAATTATTGACGGTCGAATTTCGTCAACAAAGAACCGGCCAGGTTACCTCTTGATTTCCCGTTAGGTTACCGGCCGGGTGGGTTTAATTTAGCGTGTTAGGAAACGATATGCTATTTACGTGTATGTATCTATTGAAAAAAACCCCTTAGATACTATTGACACAAGAGAGTTTGTAGTGGTTCACTCTATAAATTTCAGAGCTACGTCCACTGTAATATTGTATTTCTTTATCTTTGGGTAAGATACAGTTTACAATGTATTTCCTTTGCTTTGTTTTTTCAACCCCTTCCTCATTGGGGTCTTCTACCTTTTATATTGGGGCTTCCTTCGCTTAGGAGGTTTCCCTCATAGCTAGAAACACTCGAGTGTTCTCCTTTGGTAGGCCCAGTAGTAGCTCATCAATTTGCATTGTTCATCCAATCTATTTAGTCTTCTATTACGACTCTGTGCTTCTCCGTAATACTTTCCTGTCCCCCGTGGGGGCAGTCTGACAGCCCGTAATTAATGCTTGCAGACCACCTCCACTTGTGCACGTAATCCGCGCTGTTTTCTATTAGGCGTTTCCCTCGTCGCCTGTGCTTCTTAATCTAACCGCCTTTCCTGAAGGCGACTTCCTGTGGTCGAGAAATCTCCATTCTGTTGCGTCGGCGGCACAATTGGTCGGCGCCACAGATAGGTCGTCGCTTTAAGTAAGACCCTGTCCCGGAGCCTTAACGGAGGGCTTAAGATGAGCTTGCAAGCGTCGAGGGAATTTAAGCGTCGAGGGTACCTTAAGCGTCGAGGGAACTTTAAGCGTCGAGGGCTCCAGATCGTCGGGAGTCCCTTGCTTGGTGGGGTTTGATCAATGCCACGTGTCGCGACATCTTTTGTCCACGTGTCAGCCAAGTTTTCCCATACAACAGTTATTGTAGATTCTTTTCTTTTGAAGCGTAGTCATTGATAATTTCATAGGGCTTGTGTGTAAATTTTAAGTTGAGTTTGAGTTAAAATTGTAATTTGAGTTTGTATTTAATTGTGTACATTTGAGTTATGATTTAAGATAAAAATCTTTTTTGAGTTTGTGTTTGAGTAAGTCAAAACTTGAATTTATTTTTAGATAGTATTTTAATAAAAACTCAATGTTGATAAAAAATTTTAATAAGGTATATGGGTCTAATTTTATTCATCTTTTTATTTTTAACGCATAGAAAAAAAATCATCTCAATCAGAATTAAAACAAAAAAATTATAACAATTTTAAGAATAAAAAAAATACTGTTTATTAACTTAAGTTTTCATTTTCTATTTTGGACGGTGGATCAATAGATTTGTATTTTAAATATACAAACGAAAAATGTTAAATAAAAAAGCTAGGCCATCGACTCAGGTGAACCCACTGTGGGCCCCACAGTAACGAACGGCTGAGATCTTAGGCTTGCTTTGCTGAAGTGGGTTTGGTCCTTCGATAGACAGCGGCGACAGAAGCGCGCCTTAAGCACGGCTTGGAAACCCATTCTTCTGCCAAACACTCGCCGGTGCTTCCAGATTCAATCACTCGCGAGAAACGAAAGCCATGCTCATCCAACGCCCATTCTCGCCCATTCTTCAAACCCCCAAGCTTCCCTTCTCACCATTTTCCCGCTTCTCCACTCTCGTCGCGCCATTTCCGACCAAGACTACTTCTCTGCGCTTCGCGAGAGTGAAGTGTCGAGCTCAAGACTTGAAGACCCAGAACTCGCGGGGACTGAAAGACCGAGAAGAAGGTGATTATTACGACGATGAAGATGACGGGGGCGAAGATGGGTTTTCGACTCGCGGTGGGTTCAGAGGGAGAGACGACGAAAAGGATTATGATAAGGATCCGGAGTTCGCTCAAATATTGGGGACTTGTCTTGATGACCCAGAAAAGGCTCGCGCCAAAGTAAGCTCTTTTTTGCGTTCTTGAGATTCTTCGTGGCCAAAAATTATGTGGGTTTTGTTTAGAAGATTTTGGTTTTGGTGATTTGTTGGTGTTTGAAAGAACTTATTGGATTAACTATGAACGTCTCAACTGCTTATGACCAACAGATACAACTAACTTATGTAGACACTAAAGTGACTGAATTTACATAAAAATCTGGTTCTTTATAGTTGTCAATATTTGATATGTGAGGAATGGTTTTGGACTGTAACGTTGATAAGAATAGTTGAAAAGAAGCGTGTTGATTTGATAAGGTTGTGTGACTTAAAGAAGGGGTTTTGTAAAGATTACTAAGAAGAAAGATTGTAGAAAGGAATGATATGAAATAAGAAAAGTGAAGAGAAAGAGAGAGATCCGAGCTTTGAAGAACTCTGCTTAGAGAGAAACCGGTAATCATCTCATTAATCAGAAATCAGCACAAGAGGAGTTCAAAAACTCCATACGAGTGGTGAAAAGTTTCTTACTATAAGCTAATGACTAATCAATGATTACAACAGAATCAGAAACTAATCAAACTGAGAAGCTTTAAACAGTCTCACAAGTCTCTTTTTAACCAAATTTGCAGATGGAGGAGAGGTTGAGGAGGAAAAGGAACAGAATATTGCATTCAAAGACTGGTTCAGCTACACCCATGAAGGTTACATTCAACAAGTAAGATTAAACTCCAAATACCAAGTTCTTCATCGTTTTCATGTTTCTCCATGACCTATTTATTCTCTCTGATATGATACATGCTATATTGGAGTTTATCAGTGCTCTATTTTTGTTGATTTTGTTATTCATACATTGAAAACTGCAGGTTTGATTTCTCAAACTCATATATATGGTTCGAATTTTACAATACTCCTTTGGATAAAGATGTCTCTTTGCTCTGTGATGTAAGTATTTCGCTCTTGAACTCTGCTTTACATCTCTAGGAAGTATGGTTAAGTATCCTTGTTGACTTGGGTGGTGCAGACCATTCGTTCGTGGCATATCATTGGACGCCTTGGTGGATGCAATTCCATGAACATGCAAGTAATGTTACTCTTTTAATTCACATTTTCTGCTATGACCCACAGAAATGCTGGTTATTGCATTGATTCACAGCGTCTAGTATTGTTCTTGCAGTTGTCTCAATCTCCTTTGGATAAAAGACCAAGTTATGATGCTATTCAAGGAGCAAATGTGACACCAAGTACATTTTACAATCTCGGGGATCTTGAGATTCAAGAGAACCTGGCACGCATTTGGTATGATTATGTCCTAGAATTTAGTTAACTTTACTGTTACTATTGTAATGATTCTTAATTATCTAACTTGTTTTTTTCAATTTTGGGATGAAAAGACGTCTTTTTGTAGTTAATGAAGGAATCGTATATCTGATTGAAATTTTTTGACAGGGTGGATATTGGTACCAGTGAACCGTTGCTTCTAGATGTGTTGATAAATGCATTGACTCAGATAAGCTCTGAGTAAGATCCTAATATCTCTCCATCTTTGACAATATTTAATCACTTTGTCTCTATCATCTATTAAGTTTGTTTTAGTAAATAGCAAATATTTTTCTGTACATGTCCAAAAATTAGTAGTTACGTGATTTGTATTAATGTGCATGTTTTTATTCAAGAAATAGGAAAGCAATGTGAGAAATTCATATAGCCATAATGTTCACGTTCATCTACTGCGTTCTAGTCCCAACTTCTTGAGATTTCTTTACTATGCCATTTGATGGCTTGGCTGTAAATCAAAGACTAAGACAACCTTTAATAACAGAAAAAGAAAAAACGAACAAAGTAAGACAGCTTCTCATTCCTGCGTGATGTCCCATGTAACAGCTTTGTCGGAGTCAAGCAAGTTGTGTTTGGCGGAGCAGAATTTGAAAATTGGAAGGAGAATTTGACAACCGAGGATGCCGGTTACTCCGTCCACAAAATTTAGCCAACTTGCTTTGCACCAAGAAGTCTCTATACGTGCGATTATTGTTTGTGTATGTGTCCAACAACTGAAGAGCAATGAATTTTCTATTCTGGAAACAGATTACAGTTGCTGCTGAATTGCTGATGCTGGAGTAGCCTACTCTTATAATGTAGACGCATCTCTTCAAATCTCAAATTTTGATTATTAGGACTAGTTTCTTGCTTAGATGATAGGAGAGTAAAGGTTGCCATATTTGATCGAGCAACATAGAAGGTAAAACCAACTTTGTGTTGTTAATGAGAGGGTGTTCTGCAAATTATGTGCTTAAATGTGTGCTTAGCACGCATTACTTGTATGCATGATACATTAACAAAAATGTTTGAAGCCTCCAGGCCCTCTTTTTATGTGATGAGTACGCAGTAATATGGCATTATTAAAAGTGCCTCACTTATAGTATCAAAAATCTACGCCTATAAAAAGAAAAATAAATAAATAAATAAAATATGTTGGGGGGTACTTGGGGCAAGTTTTAAATTGTTTTTAGGAACTTAAAAAGCACTTTTCACATAGAAATGTCACTAGTGTGTTCGGTGAAAAGTGGACACAGCCACTAATGCACTTTCATAGCTATCTTGAACCGTTTATTTTTTTAAATATTATTATTATTTTCTAAAATTTTTGACTTTTGCTTCTATTCATTCGTATAATTCTTTCAAATGCACAAACTATGAGGATATTTGATTCTCCGTGTGAAGAACAGTTGTGAATTGTCAGGTTATTTATTTTTTATTTTTTTAAGAAGAGAGATCAACGGTGGAAACTTCATTAAATAAATGATTTGTTGTTGTCGTTTGTAAGAGTGTCGTTCAATTCTCTAACACTTGTCAACTGTCGTAGCAGCTTGAAGACACAGTCGTTTTGTAAATATTTTGTCGTGTATGACAGTAGTGTTTTCAGCTATCTGTGTCGTTTGCTGCTACATGTACTGATGTTGACGAATTATCATTTGGACTAAGACTAATTTTATTGTTTTGTGTCGTTTGTTAGGCACTTGCAGAAAAACGATATAATGAAAAATGGCTAATTTATATTCACAAATATCTGCAAGGGCCGCCTCTGGAAAAGAAAAGAAAAGAAAAGGTATTGTTAGAACGAATCTAACAAAAGCCTAGAAGATCAATAAGAAGAAAAACAGAAACAAAAAATACACAACACCAGAGTTTATACAAGTTCGACCAAAATATTTGACCTGCGACCTGTTGAGTTCCTCCACAAAAGCTATTCCACTAATACAAAGAAGAGTACAACTTAGATCTTAGATTACAACCCTCATCTAGGGCAAATCCCATTCTCCCCAAGACTACCCAAAGAAATCACACAATATTTACAAAGAAACACCCAAAGTAAACTTCTCTTTACAGATTTCTTCTTTCTCACTGGATTTGTACAGTCTCTCTCACTCTTTGGAATTTTCTCTCTTTGGAATCTGGAAACAAACACGAGATCCCCAAAAAATTGATAACCCTAGAACATTCTGAATATTACATATATATACCTCAGTAGAAAAGAGGATAACACTTACTCTGTAGCCACGTGTTGCTAAGTTACTTGCTTCTACTCTTCATAACTAAAACGCAGCGTTTTGATTCACTGCTGTTCATCAGACCAAAAAATGACCTCTCGTTTTAGTTCTGCTCTTCTTCTTCTTCTTATACTTCATTCGTTTAGTTCAGAGATTATTCCTCACAAACTCCACCTTAATCTCTGAAGTAAACTTATAGCTTTCTTGTGGAATCATTGCTCACCCCTTCTGAGTTACGTTTTTCCAATGCTGAGCAACTCCAGACATTTCTAGAGTTTGCTAGTTGGAATTACTTTTGTTGCCATATCAGAGGGGTTCTCATCTGTATCCACTTTTTCTAGTGCCACTATCCCTTCTTCAATCTTTTCCTGGATAAAATGATATCTAACATCAATATGTTTAGATTTTTCATGGTAGATTGGGTTCTTACTCAAGTGGATTGCAGATTGGCTATCTGAATAGATGATGACTTTTCCTTTCAGCATCTTCAATTCTCTTAGCAGTCCCTGTAGCCATATAGCCTCCTTAAATCCTTCAGTTACAGCCATGTATTCTGCCTTAGTGCTTGAGAGGGCAACCACTGGCTGCAACTGAGCCTTCCAGTTAACGTAATTTCCTCCCAGGAGCATTATGAATGCTGAAATAAATCTTCTTCTATTTATGTCACTTGCATAGTTAGAGTCAACATACCCTTCCAAGCTGATGTGTGATGACTGTTGCTTGTATATTAGTCCACAACTCAACGTGTTGTTCACATATTTGAGCACCCTATTCATGGCAGCCCAATGCTCTTGACCTGGGTTAGCCATATACTTACTGAGTATGCTCACTGCATAGGCAAGATCAGGCCTTGTGCAAATCATTGCATACATTAGTAAGCCTACAACACTTGAGTATGGAACCTTTTCCATTTCTAGCTTCTCTTTTTCCGTTGATGGTGACTTCTGTAGAGAGCTTAAAATGGCCTGCCGGTAGAACAGTAACCCTTTTCGATTGGTCCATGGAGAATTTTCTTACAACCTTTCTCAGGTACAACTCTTGAGACAAGCATAACACTCTCTCTCTTCTATTCCTTTTAATGTCAATACCCAAGATCTTCTTAGCCTGCCCCAGGTCTTTCATGTCAAACTCTACACTCAACATCCTCTTGACCTCCTTTATGTCATTCAAGTCTTCTCTTGTAATCAGCATATCATCCACGTATAGTAGAAGAAATACTGAATTTCTGGAGCCTGCATTCTTGTGGTATAGACATGAATCATAGCTGCTCCTTTCAAAACCAGCCTTTGTTATATATGTTGGGAATAGTGTCCTAGAAGCATGAGATGTAATAGGATATTTATTATTTAATTAATAAAAGAGTTTATTCATCATTTTATGTGCATATATTTATGAATATTTTATGAATATCAAATGAAAATTCCGTGATTGTTTATGTAACCTTAAACATAGTATATAAGTGTTATATACGAGAGGATAGTGTTTAAGGATAATAATCAAAAACATTGTTCATGATGAATTTAATTAAAGTTTGGAATTTTTAATTAAAACATTATTAATACATGTCATTCCCATTAAGAATGGAACGGTGTTATCCGCACTGTTAATATGGTGAGATATTGAATGAGTGTATTTCGCATAATAAGATTATGTGGAACAAGGACACAGACACAATATGAATTTCTAATAATTTCCGTTAAGCATAGAAATTTTAATTGAGTCTACCAATAGTCATATATAGGATGATCTTAATCCTGAGTTCTTAACAAACTCCTATTTATGGATTTATGTCTTTTGATTTACTCGGTACAGATTTCGAGACCCTGAATCCTATTCCTTGTATTTTGAAGACATAATGAAATAAGTAGCTGGGAATGTTATTATATGAGATGGAATCCATTCCTTCTTAAGAAAGAAGCAGATAAATAATTCTCTTGAGTGTTGATTCGGTACTTGGATTAGTAAGAGCGCTCTGGTTCATGAATGTGTTTTATGAATCACTATCCATTAGAGAATCAA